GTGCATCATTAAATATGTTTTAAAGCAACGCTTTCTAGTTATTTTTAAACATTGGCAAATATGGCATTTTTAATATAAAACAGTTTGTTATATTTACCTTTGGCCCACAGCCTTCACTCAAGTTTTGTTTTTGGCCCTTTATGAGAAAAAGTTTGGGCACCCCTGAATTAGGTTGATATCAGGCAAATTGGGCAATCAGGTAAAACGGGCCATTTAAAGTTCGAGTGTCTTATCGCTTAAAAAGTTAACAGCCAATAACTGCAAGGAATTACAAACTGTTGCCATAACAGTACTTGACATTTAGAAAATGATTTATTTATTTTTTTGGTCTGAGGTTGTGGATGAGGAGCCTCATCTTGAGGCTGTTCCATAAAAAAGCAAGGCGAGTGTCCCGACACATCCAATCTTCTCAATACAGCAATTAGGTTGACAAATCAATACCAAATCCAAAACTCATTTAGAAATAATAATACAAAACCCATGTCTTGATTCCCTCTGTGAAATAAATTAATGATTTGGCTAAATCAACCAGACTTTTACATGACACAAAACTGACCCAATTTACCGGAATGTGTAAAGGAGTCATTAGTTCAAGTTAAAATGGGCCACCTTCTGTGAAATTCTTGTGGTTCCTTTTCTAAAAACAACTTATAATATTGATATTTTCTATTATAAAATTTACAGAGGCTCAGTGGTTAGCACTGTCAACTCACAGCAAAAAGGTTCGAGTCCCGGCTTGGTCAGTTGGCATTTCCCTGTTTGCATGTCGCGTGATTGCGTGAGTTTCCTCCGGGTGCTTTGGTTTCTTCCACAGTCCAAAGACATGTGCTATGGGTGAATTCATTGAACTAAATTGTCCATAGTGTATGTGTGTGAATGAGTGTGTATGGATGTTTTCCAGTACTGGGTTGTAGCTGGAAGGGCATCCGCTGTGTAAAACATATGTTGAATAAGTTGGTGTTTCATTCCGCTGTGGCGACCCCATTAATAAAGGGACTAAGCTGAAGGAAAATGAATGAATAATGAATGAATATTATGAAATTTGTGACATAGCTTTTTCACATTTTACATTCAAAATGTCTATGTGATGTGTGTTTATGTGCGCTCAACTGTTTGTGTATGCATGATATTGAGACATACTGCATAATAAGCTGTATTTGTGCACACATGGGCACACAATCACTGAACAGAGAAAGAGTGCAAGATACACTTAGATGTGATAGGTGTTGATGTAAAGTATGGCCTAATGTTAAACTATTTATGCTATTTAAAAAACAGAAAGGAAAGAGGAGGATCAGAAAGGAATATAAAGGAGATAAAACGTATGTTTGAAAGGGATGGGGCAAAAAAAAATATCCCATCAAGGTTTACCATACGCTCTATGGGTATTTAATATAATTCACAAGCATTTAAAGTACTTCAGATTGGTGTTAAATGCATAAAAATTTGCATTGCAGACAGGATAATTTTTGCTGAACACTTCTATCTCAAAAATATGGGTCAGAGAAGGTTTAAAGATTTTGTACTCTGTTAAAATAGTTGGGTTAAAAATACCCCAACATATAACCCAGCACCTTCCCAACTATGGGTTATTTTAACCCAATGCATTGGGTTATTTTGATTAAATGTTATTTTTTTCCATCCTGGTGTTATATTACTATTACTTGTACTACTATTGATTTTATAATTATGGCTGTCTAAATAAAATAATGTCTTTGCTTTGTCCTAAAGGTGAGAATGATGGCCGAATATACAAAATATGTGTGTCATTTCTTCAAAAAAAAAAAAACTTTAGAGATGAACATGTGAGGTAGAGAAAGCGTTTTATCCATTTAATACAGATCGCCTATGAAGTGCACATTTGTATCATCAATAATTAAGAGTGCTGGTGAAACGGATATAAAAAAACACGACTCTGAGAGGTAATTTGATAAAACAAAAACAATATTATTATACCTTAACTTTTATAACGTCAAAACAAAATGAAGCACGCATATTAATACAGCTGTTCTGTGTCAGTTAAATCAGTTGAATGTTGAAATTCAAAATTTTAACCCAACTGGATGAGTTGTAATATAAATGACCAAATAAAGGTTAAAATAACCCAACAAAGCACCAAATATTTAACCCAACTGGTTGAGTTATTAATAAATAACATAAGAAAGGTTAAAAATAACCCAACAAAGCACCAAATATGCTTAACTCAACCATTGGGTTAAATAAATAACTCAACGTATTTTAGTGTGTAATAAAGGGACTAAGCCGAAAAGAAAATGAATGAATAAATAAATGGTTCAGTTATTAATAAATAACCTAATAAAGGTTAAAAATAACCCAACAAAGCACCAAATATTCAACCCAACTGGTTGAGTTATTAATAAATATTCTATTAAAGGTTAAAAATAACCAAACAAAGCACAAAATATGCTTAACTCAACTATTGGGTTAAATAAATAACTCAACGTTCTTTAGGGTGTAGGGTCTAAACCATTCTATTTTACAGTATCCATTAAGTGATATGGGATTATAGTGATATTTAAAACACACACAATTTATGAATTTATGAACAGTATGGCTTTTTAATGAACTACTAACGGACTCTGGCAGTCTAAGGCAGAGGTTCTTTAACTTTTTAGCCCGCTACCCCTAAAATAACTCCAGTGACTCACGACCCCCACTATGCTCAGAGGTGGTTATAAACATATTGCAGACAATGGTGCACACACACCCATAGGAATTATATAAACAGGAGAATATTGGCAACACAAAAAAGGGCAACAGTCTAACAACAATATAATTTTTTATAATCATTATTCATTTAATAGGGCTGCATGGTGGCGCAGTGGGTAGCATGATTGCCTCACAGCAAGGTGGGTTTCCTCTGGGTGCTCTAGTTTCCCCCATAGGTCCAAATACATGAGCTATAGGCAAATTGTCCGTAGTGTATGCGTGTAATAGAGTGTGTATGACTGTTTCTCAGTGATGGGTTGCAGCTGAAAGGGCATCCACTGTAAAACATATGCTGGATAAGTTGGTGGTTCATTATGCTGTGGCAACCCCAGATTAATAAAGGACTACGCTGAAAAGTAAATGAATGAATGTATATTCATTTAATTTAATATTAACCTCACTTAATGAGAATGGTGGGCAGTGGGCACAATGTACAGCACAAGACTATTATTGGTATAATTTTGGAGACCGCTACTTGGAGATCTTAGTTTAGTTTAGTTTATTTGTTTACAGGTTCAATGCACATTAATAAACATTACTGTAAAATGTGCCAGAATTAGCCAAGAATGGCTATTTTTCATCCGTAGACCCCTTAAAGAATGTTAAAAAGTCACACCTAAAATAGAAGCACAACAATAAACATTAAATAATCTTCCTCCATGTTCAGTCGTGGGCTTTATTTTTAATGTATGTAAAGGTGTTAAAGTTAAACATTGTGCCGTAAAATCAATCTTCTGCAACTAACGCTATTGCTGTGACATTAATCTAGCATAATAACCCCAGGGGTCGCAATCCAATGGAAAACATGTAAAGGCCAATGGCTTTTTATTTACATGTTGTTGATTTATGTTGTTTTATAAATATATTCGAAGTTATTTTTATCTTCTGTAGGTTATCAATAAAATACAGTTATTCTGATAATTTAATAACATATAAACTCTCCCCATTTTTTTGCGACCCCCACTTTGGGAACCACTTAGGCACATGTGTCATGCTCAGTTCCTGGAGGGCCGCAGCGCTGCGCAGTTTAGTTCCAGCCCCAATGAAACACTCCTGAACAAACTAATTGAGTCCTTTAGGTCTGTTTGATACCTACAGATAGCAGGCCCGTAGACAGAGGGGGTTCGAGTGGTCCAGAGACCCCACCCCCCTACCACTGCTGATAAAAGGTCCAGTATTGGCCCAAACATGAGCTCACTTGTCTTATTTTGACTGCTATGCCATCATAAAGTATGAAAATAACCCATCAAAGAAGGCTTCCAATAAATCTAAACAATTATTTTACACGATTCCAACATCCAGCTGTGCAAGAAAACTTGTTGAAAGTGAAGTCAACTTTTAATCTGAATCTTGGACCTTATTCTTGAAAGAAAAAAGTCAAATAAAAAGGTTTGAAGCACCAAAAGCGGCCCATGTTAAAGTAAATTTTTATACTAAATAGGCTATTTTTGTTATCCATGAACTTTCAAAAAGTTAAGCTCCATTCATTCATTTTCTTTTCAGCTTAATCCCTTTATTAATCTGGGGTCGCCACAGCAGAATGAACCGCCAACTTATCCAGCATATGTTTTACACAGCAGATGCCCTTCCAGCCGCAACCCATCTCTGGGAAACATCCATACACACTCATTCACACTCATACTACGGACAATTTAGCCTACCCAATTCGCCTGTACAGCATGTTTTTGGACAGTGGGAGAAACCGGAGCACCCGGAGGAAACCCATGCAAACGCAGGGAGAACATGCAAACTCCACACAGAAATGCCAACTGACCCAGTCGAGGCTCGAACCAGTGACCTTCTTGCCGTGAGGCGGCAGCACTACCTACTGCGCCACTGTGTCGCTGTTAAGTACTACATTATCAATATTATTGTTTTATTTTTTTTTATCATTTAGAAGGACAAATTCTAACCAAGGAAAGTTGAATGAGCTGGCCAGTTTGTTATTGCCCATTAAATAACAATAGGCTCCTGTTTTTTTTTTTTTTTTCATTTAAATCTTTAACTTGAACTCAATTTCTTTAAATATTAATCTGATATAATAAATTAGCATTTTTAAATAAGTATTTTTTCATATTTCTTCATTCTATATATTTAGCAAACGCTTTTCGTACCTCAAAAGTGTGGTTATGGTGACCCCCTGACAAGCTAATCCAGCTAAAAATAGTGCTTAATATGTCACAAAAATACAGTATTCAAATTTCATTAATAAATATATAACAAGACAAATAGTTGCAAAAAGCTCAACTGCTTAAGAAAAAAACAACCACCTGGCCTGGATAGGTGTGTTCAAGCGGGGCTGGAACTTGTGCTGCGGCCCTCCAGTTGAGTTTGACTCCACAGGTTTAAGGAAAATGCAAACACAAAAAGTGCAAAAAATTCAAGTATTTTTTTGTTCTATTTACAACATTAACAAAAGTTTTTTGTCTATATATTTTTTCAATATAATTGTTATAGTGATAAAAAGACAAGTGAACTCACCTGACATTAAGCTTGTATGAATTGCTGACTGCATGTGCTCTCTACCATGATTAGAGTTTCAAACTCCTCCTCTCTTCTACCGGGGCGGGACCTCACGGGTCCGGATCCGCCCTGATGTCCCGATGACAGCACGGACAAGATGGCGGCCAGCTGGGAAGTGAAGTGAGGATGTCAACATCATTTCTTCAGTTTAAACAAGTCGGGATTTTCACCAGCCATCCCTTCGAAGACTCCTCGATATAGTTCATGATCCGTGCATCTGCTTCAGGAGGCAAAACCGGTGCATTTTTACCCAAACGCGCGCATGTTTCTGCGCTATGTTTTGGAAATCCGTTTGCGCAAAGAGGACCATCAACTCTTGACGAGCGATCTGGCCTGCGTGAACCTCCAAAACCCACTCCAGGAGTCCTCAAAAGAGCGTTCCCGCCTCAGATCGCGCGCTTCATCGACTGAAACTCTGCGATCAGTCGGATCGACGCTGTTTTGATTGCTGTTTGCGGTGATTTCCGCGAGGAAGAGCGGTGGTTCTCATTAAAGCTGCGGAAGTGGAGGAGAGCTTTTCACGCCAGTCATCTTTCACATGCACTTTCTGTCCCTCCGTGGATGCTCTTTACGCCATTATCCAGTTGTAAAAGATCCGAGACCGCATTAAAACTCGGGCACACGGGATACAGGGGTGCATTAGCTGTATCTTGTCCGGAAACTGTATTTTTTTGCTGACTTGCTGGCCAGTTTTAGTGGTTAAAGTGACGCCATGGCTCATTCTCCAGTGCAGGGCAGTCTGCCTGGGATGCAGGTAAAGATACACTCAGCATCATTTCTACTATTTTGTGAATCGTTTACACTTTAACACTACGTACGTGTGTGAGTTTCATAATGTCTGTAAAGAGTTCCTACTTTCTGATAAGTTGCAAAATAGCCAAAATGGGGTTGACTGCCTTTGAAAGTGTTAAAAGGTCAAATTTTGTATAAAACAAAACGTTTTGGATTATAAACGAATTAAGGGTATAGTTGGTTTTATAATCACAAATTTGGACTTTCTTCTTAATAATAAAATTTCTGAAAAGTATTTTCAAATTCTTAATGGGCAAATCATATTAGCAGTTTAAAAACAACATTGTTTAAAGTAAAAAAAAAATAGTGCTAATGCTGGTTTGAAGTCATGCTTCTGATTACAGACAGAATATATTTAAAGTAATATGGTAAACAATATAGGGACTATGTTACAAGTTGTCACAGAACAAATGTGCGATTATAAAACCAACTTTACTTTCGCACATTTAGACTTTCTCCTTGATAAAATAATTTCTGAAATGTATTACTTGCGAATTCTATATAGTGAAATAATATTAGCAGCCAAAGACTATCAAAGTACAACATTGTTCATAGGGTTGCACGGTTTAGTATCGCTCCAAAATACTGGCGGTGCCACTGTAGTTTGTTAACGATAGTATTGTCATTAATGGTTTATCTACAATAGATAATGTTGCAAGTGGTAAAGTCACTAAAATGCACACACGCTTGTGCAACAAAAAACATTTTATTTTAATAGTCTGTGGAGGCCATTGAGGTTGCAAAACTGTGTAGAATTTGCGCTTTTATGGTAGCCCATTTCACGATTTCTAATGCTTTAGTTCGAACTCGCATCTGAAAAGGTTAATTTCTGTTCTTGTTTATATGATTTAGCAGCTACACAATATTTGTCACAACTGTGACAATCTCTTCAAACAAACGACTCACAAAGTGAAAATTTTAAGTACTTTGGCTTGTTACCTGATAAGACTGAAAAAAAAAATAGATGAAAAACCCAAAGTAGTAACAGGAAACATTGAAATTTTTGATCACTTCCTGTAGCCTAATTTTGTTGGGGGAAAATGCTCTTTTATAACAAATTTCATTTGGTATAATTTGTAACTTTAGTGTATTTTTTTGTTGGTCAGTTATCTACAAAATAAACAAAAATAATGAGTAAATTTTAGGTGAAGTGAGGTGCAAATAATACTTTTTGGCCTTAAGGGAATTATGAATTAAATTCAAGTAGGCCGACTATAACATAAAATATAGCATTTCTGACCATTTTCTTTATAATTTGAGTTATGAATTACAGTATCGGAATACTACTTGTTGGTATTGTGATACTTTGGCTGGTAAAGTATTGTGAGATTAATTAATAGTATCGTGACAACCATAGTTCACAGTGAATTAAGTAGTGCTTATGTTGTTTTGAAGTCAAACTTGAATGCGACTTCAGACCAAATATTCAAATTAGCGTAGTAAACAATATCGGATTCGACACTGTTAAAACGAATGAATGGGCGAATATACAGCCAACCTTACCTCAATAAGAAGCATTAGAAACTTGCCATACACACAGGAACAGTTTGAGGACAAAAGCATGTCAAATGTTCTGAATTATTGACTGCGGTTTGATGAATTTTTAGAAAATATACCACCTCGGGGGCATTATTTTCTAATAATTCAACTGCTCATCATTGGTTATTCGCTAAAATGTTAATATATTAATTCATTATTACCTTTTTAGAACCAACTTTAACATAAACCTTTCTGCTATCTAGCTATTCACTTTTGTGGACGACTGGGGGTTCCTCAAAGCCTTTGGTTGACTTGAGTTGGCTTGATTAGGTTCGATTTTAAAATATTAATGCGAAAACACATCAAACATTATGGTTAACAGAAGAAGCCCTACATCCTTCATCATCATCTAAGCCTGGAAGTCAACAATTTAGAAAGCATGCCCATTAAATATTAAAATCTTGATGTTGTAGTTCTCTGGAGAGCATTAGCACCACTGTAACCTTTCTGGGACGTCCTTTATGAAGCTGAAGTCATCCAAGATCATGCATGAAGATCCAAGAATGAAAGGAAGTCGTGAAGTGGAAGGGTAGACACAAAAGGAAAGAGTGTTGTTAGAGAGATGTCTCCAGAGACAAGCTATCAGAACTGGGTCACTTGGTTTGGTCTCTATATATGCCGGGCCATATGACTGGTTTGCCCTCAGGATGTTCGAGCAATCTGCCATCCCAAGTACAAAAAAAATTCAGTTCATCTTCATCCTAAATGAACGTTGCAGGAGCCATTGTTGGCTGAGGATCTCCACCTTTAAGGAGGTCTTCAAAATCAGAGATTAAGTATGAGAAAAAGAAAAGCTGAATTACGTTGGAGGTCTGGAAGCTTAATGATGGAATAAGCATTATTTCTAGTAATGGGAGAAACGAAGCTTTTCAGGCCATCAAAACAATTGAACCAATTGCTTTGCAAAATAAATAGAAGTTAACACAAGCTATGTACACCTGGTGGTCAAATTGTGTAAATGCAGGCAAATATGGATCAGAAATGTTTTTTTTTTTCAAACTAAATATTGCAAACTTTAAATTGAATATATAATATTTAAATGCACTTGGCTGGTCACAAAATAGTATTATTAAGTGTCTGCAGAGTATGCATTCCTTAATACATTTTCAAGGCTTATATATATAGTTTTTTCTATGATGGGTTATGTTAAACAGGACACAAGACTATTAATTAATATTATTCCTTTTCATTTTACAAATGTCTCACTAAAATAAGCTAGTAAAACTGATCCAAGGTCAGGTTAAACCAATGAAATTTGTTCTGCAATACGCTACTTGGGAGCACAATTCATGTGGTTTTTCTGGAACAGAGATCGCCCCAATTGAAAAACCATTGACATTTTAAAACAGTAATTAAAGCTGCAAGCAGCGATGAAAGGGACCTCGCACCTGGGCTCACCTCCGCCCGGTGGCCTTAGGATGGCAGAGAACAGCGAACAATAATAACATGATAAATATAACTGATTTATGCCAAACTTCCTTCTGTCAGCAGGTGGCGCTATGACTGTGACTCAATATAGGCATGTAGATGTGTTCAAGAAAGTAATCTCAAAGAAGCTGTGAGTTTTCAGGCGGATCGGACATTGTTTGGCTGAGTTATAAGTAGGGCTGCACGATTAATCGAAAAAAAGATCACAATCTCGTTTCGACCCTACACACGATCTTAATTCAGCTTTTCTACGATTCAGCCAATTCGATTTTCAAGGTCTGGAGAGAAGCAAGGCAGTCGCACAAATCTTCACAGCAATGCTGACACCTTTAAATAGCGTTAATAGTGTCACATACTGTATTTAAAAGGTATATATCACCCAGAAATGTCATTTCTGTCTTCATGTAACAATGTATTTGCGGTCGTGAAATCTCCAGTTGAATTTCCAGTTGAGAAACACTGCCCTAGCCTATATATAATGTTGAATATAATGCAAGAAGGAATCTGATGACAAAATTCTAATTTTAAACAAATAATAATGTCTAATAATGTTGTCAATGACAGATGACAAGCACATGTATTAAACATAATTAATCAACTTTATAATTATGAATAGTTATTTTCTGATGTCATCATTTTACTGTGAATTAACAAACAGGACATATTGAAAGTCTGTTCAAGTCCACTATAATGACTATACAGAATGTAGCATTTTAAACAACAGTATACCTATACATAGGCCTAATATTGTTATTGATGCTTTGCCATATGTTTGAGAATTAACAATAATAATAGGCTAATCATATTAACCTTTATTATACATTTACATAATCGTGAGAAAATCGCGATCTTGATTTTAATAAAAATAAATAAATAAAAAATGTGATTCACATTTTTGCCAGATTCGTGCAGCCCTAGTTATAGATACTTCCTACTCCATAACGAGGCACTGAACTTTGTCAATCCACCATGGACACGCCCTTTGGCGAAAACTCTAGATGTCGTTACAATTTAGCATCACAAAGGCCTTTGGATTAAACTAATGGAGCATGGATTCGATGTGATAAAATTTGTGGGAGGAGTTTGTTATACT